TGTGGCAGTTTATAAACCTCTTAAAAGGTGATAAATTGTTTGAAAATAATATATTCGGTTCTCCTGTAGCAACGTCGTTCACTTTTAAAGGAATGCGCTCCACGGGTTTTGTAAACGGAGATGCCACTTTCTGAGTTAAAAAAAAAAAAAAAAAAAAAAAAAAAAAAAAAGTGCAGACAAAATTTAGAAAAAATAAATTTAACTCTTGTACTTTTTGCCCAATTCTTTACGATTATTCAAAATTTGATACACCTCATAATACCCAGTAACTGCTTGTTCAGAATCTGGAATGCAACATAATCTTGAGGTTAAAATGTAAACAACTAAAGGAACTAAAGATTCTGCTTTATTACTTACGTAATTATTTCCATAATTATACATATCTATGCTTTCATCAAACAACAGAACTGAATTTTTGTGGCTCATAACATACATAAATTTTATCATCATATCTTTGTTATGAAAGCGTAAGAAAACATAAAATATCATTGAACTCAAATTTTTTAAAGGAGAATTAAATTAATATTCTCAGAATTTTTTCGCTTTACATAAATCTGTTTATAGTTCAAAGCAGTTTTCAAAAATTATAATATTAATGTAATAATATAATATTTCATATATATAAATTGAAATTACTTAAATTTGAAAAAAATATGATATATCAATGTTGCACTTTTAAAACTAAAAAAGAATCCAATGATTTTTTTTTTAAAGTAAATTTCTTAATTTCCTTTAAGTTAAAAAATGTGGGATCTCCTTCTTCGAAACCGGAGCACGAAAGACCATTTGATAAAATGCAGATTTACAATAAAAATACGTCTTTGCTATTTCAAATGACGTCATTGAAGACGATGAACACGCATTTACAAAAAGAAAAGTGATGCTTAGTATCCATGAACCTGATGGTCGAGGTAAAAGGGAAGAAACAAATTTTTACACACTTAGTTTACTATCTCACTTAACCCCAACAAATACCCATATATGGGTGTTAAGAGACACATTTCGATAATATGCACTCATACTAGTCAATATTATACCTTGTATGGTCCGAAAGTTCATAGGTTAAGGTCAAAACTGCTTTCCGTGCTTTACAAAATGATACAAAGAGACAAGAAGTGATGCATTCTTATTCAGTTCTGTGAATACAGTTCCTGGTTGCAATAACATACTGTTCAGGCAGCGTCCTGTAGTGCTGATCAAGTCCTGACGTATGTAACATTCACAGATGCCAGATCCAGTCTTCTAATTTAATTGAAGTTTTAACAACAAGTAACATTGCACGGTGCATTCCATGTAGTTTAAAACTGGAAATGAAACAGTTACAACAGGAAAAGTATCTCCCTAGCCCTCTACAGTCCAGGGGTAGTGAGAGGTAGTCATGAAAATTGAAAACTTTTCACACATATCACATTGATCGCCATGGTTTAAGAACATGGTGGTGTACATATTGCAAGAACAGACACTTAAGACAAAAGATATCTCAAAATATTTAGCAAACAGATTTGAAAGGTTAAAAGAGCCGTTTCTCTACGGTGTATAAATCGATTATAAAGAAAATAAATGTCCATATCATTCTGAGCATGAGGTCCAGTCACAGCAATAGCCTTTGGACTGTAGGACTGCAGTTAAGAATTCTATCATCTCCGTAAAATGCCTGTATCGTTACTTCAGAAAAGTGCTTGCAATATTCCACTTTGACACTTCTGTATTTTAAATTCGAAAATAAATAATTAACAAGAAGTTAAAGCATGTAATGCAATAATTTTTTAATACAATTAGAAAAACACCAGGTATATTTTTTATTTTTGATACTTTTCTTTTAAGTCAGTAAAAGAAGTACGCGACTCATACCTTCTAGATAACGATTCAGAAACCAAACGGCTAAATTTATGACTGTTTTTTATTTGATAGATAATTAGCCTCAAAGAATATGTAATTAATAATAATGTTAAATCAATATTTTAGAGATTATCAAATTTCTCTCTTTATGCATTCGAACTTTAGAAAATTGAATGAACTTAGTAAAAATTTATTTTTGAAAACGTGACACCCTAAATATCACCCGAGCAGGTAAGGTAATGGATTGCAGACTTACTTGTTTTTGACAGATCGCAGGTTGAGCAAGATTTAGATTTAGTCAGTTTTTTAATTAATTCTGATTTTGCAAAAGAATCAAACTATTTCGCTTTACTACAAGATCTACGTAAAATACGCATTGATTGATATTTAATGTAAAATGTTTTTCTACTACGACGTTATATAATTCTCAAAATATTTAATTCTCATCTCCAGAAAATTATACTACTTCATGTTATTCAGTTTTTCAGTTTTCTATAGATAGCAATGTGTAATGCAGTCAAACCTCACTATAGCGAACCCGAATTATAAAAAACTTCCAGCTAATAACGAACGAACTTTTTGATATTGCGCAATTTCTTACATAGTTACTATTTGATATGGCTTTAACAAGCATCCAAGCATGTGAAAATCGAACATAACATTATAGATGTCTCCGACTGAAACGTTTTTGTCATTTTTCATATATATAATATATATATATATGTGTGTGTTTTTTGCTATCCTAAATAGTCTAAACATGGATAATTTTAAAGGATCAGTTAAATCATTTTTCAGTTAAAGCTTCCAAAAATTCTGGGGGAAAATATATATCTATCCTGAATAGTCTAAAAATGGATAATTTTAAAGGATCAGTTAAATCATTTTTCAGTTAAAGCTTCCAAAAATTCTGGGGGAAAATATATCCATGTTTAGACTATTTAGGATAGCAAAAAACACATGTTATTTTTTATCATTATACCATTTACTTTGCGTTTTAAACCAAGTCCAATGCAAAGCTGGTGTAATACTCATTCCCAGAAAATAAAAATACATAACAAAGGAAAACTTAGGAAACCATATTTTACTACAAAAATGATTAATCGTAATTATAAATCTACATTTTAGAGGGAGATATGGATTTCGAGGGAATGGTTTGAACCATAATTTCTGCTAGCCGTTAAATTACTAAAATTCGTGTAAAAGTATCGAAATTTGGTGAAACTGGAAACTAATAATATAAATAATAATAATAATATAATTGTAATTAATCTTTAATGTAACCTTTTATAAAAAAAGTAATTATTCCCTTCTTTTCTGAAATACTAATAAGTTCGTAATAATATTAATTTTTTTTTGTGTGTGTGCAATTCATCAATTAATTTTTACTTTTTTTTTTTTTTTTTGTGTGTGTTGTGTGTGTGTGTGTGTGAAATCCTCCGTGTTCCTTTTTATCCGATCTGATAAAGCAAACTAAACTTTCGGACCCTTAAAAGTTCGTTGGAGCCGGGTTTGACTACACATTATTTTCAAACTGATCTCGATAAAAAAGTTAATGTTACTTACTCTGGTTTCTTGTTGAAATTTTCAGTTTTTATAAATCACCGAAAGTTAAGAATTTTTTTATACTTAAAATTAATGACTTTTTCTCTAATTAGAATAAAAAGAACTTTCATGTATTCTTATTCCTCCAATTAAGGATAACGCATCAGGGCTCTTTTCTGTCATCGGGACCAGATTAAAAAATGTGTATATGTATGTGTGCGTGTAGGCATATACATACATGCATATGTGGACTCCGTAAACAAAAAATCAGACAGTTCTATATCTCCCGTTCCATTGGGCCGATTGATGGAATTTAATTTGCAGTTTTTTTTTTTTTTTTTTTTTGTCTCAAAGGCGCGATTTAAAATATATATTAGATTTATATATAGCATTTTTCTAACATAGGTATTTTGACACAAAAATCGGACGTTTTCTGAAATGACATACCGATATTTTTCCATATTTCGATTATGCGACTCAAATTATGGCTAAATATTAAACTTTGTAAAATTTGGTAAGAAACTTACCGAGAAATTTAAAAATTTATCTTGGCACACTTTTTTCAGTTTGCGCCAAGAATAATTCACTTGGGGAAATTTTTAATTTATGGCAACACAGTACTTTTCTTTCTCTTTCATTGCACACGACCAGAAGAAAAAGTGCTACGTTCATTCTTTCAAATAATTTTAACAAATTGCTTAAACCGCATTTGGTAAAATCAGTTATTTTTATGCAGATATGCCTAGAAATACATCTAATTTAAGGCGATGGTAAAAATTTTATATTTAAAAAAAGTTTTCGAAAAACTTACAAAAATGAGTAACAATACAAATTTTAAAAACAAATCAGAAAATATTTGTGAATTTTATTTAGACTGAACCTAAATTTAGAACTGTGGAAGAAGGAATGAAGTAAATTTAATAAAAAAGACGTATTAATAAATATATACAAATTCAATTAACACTGAGGAGCTAAAATTTTGACAGCTAATGTTTAAAAATCTACTCGCGCGATTTTTACAAAACTTAATAGTTGGGCATACATAATTTGAGTCGTAGAATCGAAATATGAAAAAAAAAAAAAAAAAAAAAGTATGTCATTAAAAAAAAATCCGATTTAATGTCTGTGTTGAATACCTACGATTGAACAATGCTCTATATAAATCTAATATATATTCCAAGTCGGGCTTTCGAGATATGAAAAACAAATTAAATTTCGTCAATCGGCTCAGTAGAACGGGAGATATAGAACTGTCTCTCTTTTTTGCGTAGAGTGTACAAACAATGCATGCATACATACATACATTTCTGAGTCTGGTTCGCTGGTCCGCATAATAGAAAAGTACCCGAATCTGTTATGTCAAAAAGAGGTCTAGTTTCAAAGCACAGGAAATTTTACGGCTAATTATCCATGTTAATGCTTGGTTTCTGATCATCAGTAATAGTGCTAGGATTTTATATTATTCAAATGCCTTTACAAGCTTTATAATGAGATAAGGATTCATTGACTATAAATACGTTTATCTTTCGCCTGATTAATCTGACAAATATTAAAACTGTACATATTTAAAAAGAAGAAGCTATTATACACTTGAGATGAAAGAAGAATGAAATTCTAGCTCTCTGCACAGTTACGTTATTTATTTAACCGTATGTAAAACATTTCTTATGAAATAATATACGGAAAAAAGTTACGCTTTCGAAATGCTTGATTTTCCTGCGCCCTAAGACCGTTCCTTTAATTTTGAATGCAGCGACAATGTTCCATAAATAGTAAAATTCTAGAAGTTTCAGTTCCTTACTATGCGTGTTTCGAGGTAACATATCCAGGATATTAATTTTCAATTTTTTTTTACTTCGACAGTTACATCGAGTGCCGCCTCGGGCCATAAGCGGCGATTTGGAACATAAGACTGTAGGATGTGGCGGCTCCGAGTAGTAGTAGTAATAGCAGTAGTTGTAGTAGTAGTAGTAGTAGTAGTAGTAGTAATAGTAGAAGTAGTAGTTTAGTGAGTGGTGCATGGAACTTATGAAGGCATCCTCGATACTGCTCTGACAAGGTTTCTTTCTAAGCTTGCAGAAGAAAAATGAAACGGAAGAACACACCACGTCTCAAACACGATGCAAAAGCCACCGTCAACCTCCTCCTATGGAAAGTCATGAGGCAAGAAGCGGAGTTGAATCGTAATAACAAAATAAAACAAAAAAAAAAAAAAAAAAAAGGTCCACTAAGTGGTTTTCCTTTGGTGATGAGATTTTGGAACTTAATGAAAACTATGTTATTGTTCTTATATAATCAGTTTTGAACCCACAGCGAGAACAATTACTGTGTTAGACCGTTGCCTCGTGTCCGCAAGATGGCTGAGATTCGGAAAGCAACGCTTCATAAGCAGCAATCCGATGACTTGCTGTCCGACATGCTTGTCTGCCATATCTTGCGATTATGCGTCAGGAGAGAAGTAACGGTGGCCTCGACCCGGTGGAGTGGTACCATTATATTCAGTTCATTCTTGGGGAGTGGTATTGGGATAGGATTCAATAGATGACTTCATAAACAGTGGCTTTTTTGTCGCCGGACCCTGTCACTATATACTTGTCGTCAGAAGAAATGTCGCAACTCAAGACAGACGAAGACTCTTTCGACTGAAAAGAAAGAAAATAAGGTATTATTAATTGATTTTTCCCTAAGCTGCATTAAAATACTTTGCTTTTGTTTTCAATAATATGCCAATAAAATAAATGTCACCAAAAAACAAGCATGCAGTTTCTTATTGGGTGATTATGAAATTTTCAACAAAGCAGATAATATTCAAAAGCAGAAATCAGAGCAAAAATTTCAAAAAACTTGTAAAGATTTGATATTACTAGATTAATTTAAATTCAAACAATGGCTTGATTGAGAAGTTTTCTCATTCTGAAGATTTCTTTAATCTTTATAGTGTGAATTATCAATGATATACATAATTCGCAAAAGAAAATTCACAAAAACATAACAACTCAATATATCAATAATGACTAAAATGGACAGAAATGAGAGTTTTCAATATACGCCAAAATGAAGACACATGCATTTTTATGAAAGAAAACAAAATAAAATTGAAGAAGCATTTCTTGCTGTCGATTGCTGATGCCATGCTGAGCTTACGCAACATCATTTTTTCATTCAAGAAAATTTAACTAAATCGTTTATTAAATGTGAAAAATATTTCAGATACCATTTATATGAGGTAAATATGATTTGGTGGTAGCTGCGTTTGGCTAAGCATTGTCATTTCTGCCATGCAAATAATGGTAATTTCAGAAAATAAAATGACCTTGAAAATAACGACGCTGCAACTAATTGTACTACAAAATAATATATAACCACTAGAAATAATGTAATAATGAGAATATTGCTTTCTTTAATTATAGTCCGAAAGGAAACAATTTATATTTTATAACAACACAAAACAATTTTTTGTATTATTATTATAAATATAAATTGTTTTATAAACAAAACACATTTTTTGTATCATTATAAAATTTAAGTTGTTTTAAACAAACATTTAATAAGTTTTAAAAAACAAGAATTCTATATAAAATGCCTACTGATATAAAAAATTTGACACGTGTCTGGTATCTGATGTTAAAAAAAAAAAAGTTGTGTTTCAGCAGTAATGAGATACATTCCGATGACATCAGAGATCACGTGACTTATGTACAGCTAATGTAAACAACAAGGTCATTCTTCCTCTTTTTCTCTTGCAGAATGTATCTCATTGACTGAATTCAATAAGTATGCATAAATTTTTATTTTTTTAATATATATGCTTCGCCCAAAATTTCTGTTTTTACACCACCTAAGTTGCATTTCGAGTGTAAGGATAGAGATGTAAATATGTAAGGTGCGGCAATGACTCGGACGATTTGGCAACAGCGCTTGCTTTGCTTTGGCTAAAGTGGAGAGAATGATTCTATCGCCAACTTGTAAAAGAACTTTAAAGCATTTTTAGTAACAATGGAGCTTTGGACAGAAGCTCAACGTGCTAATGCTGTAAAGGCATTTTATAAAAATGGCAAGATTTAAGTGATCGTTTAGCGTGAATTTCGAAGAGAGTTCAAGATTCATCGTAATAATGCTGTTCCATCAGCCTATGCCATCAAGAACTGGGTACGAAACCATCAAGAACTGGCCACTGGTTCGACAGTAAATAAGAGGTGGTAGTGAGAAATCAGTGTGTACACCCAAAGGCATAGCGGCAGTAAAAAAAGAGGTTGATTTTTTTTTTTTTTTTTTTTTTTTTTTTTGTGGCCCTACTTGAAATCACAAGTGTTCAATTCTCCAGCCCCTCACCCAATCGAGGAGTTGAAACTTCGAATTAAGGAAGAAATTCAACGAATTCCTGGGTAGATGCTGCAACAAGTAATGGGCGATGTTAGCAGAAGACTTTTCGAGTGCGTACAGAGAGATGGTGGGCATCTGAAAGACATTACTTACAAAAAAAAAAAAAAAAAAAAAAAAAAAAAAAAAAAAAAAAAAAACACTTTATATTATTATATATATATATATATAATATATTATTTTTTTATTTTGGAAAACTAAATGTTTAACGTGTTTAAGGTATCCGACCTCGTACAAAAGACGATTTTCGTCAAATTTCGATTTTAATTATTACATTATCTTAAAGAATACATCTTTAGCTATCAAATACAAGTTTTTGCTTGTTGATAGGTTAATAGAAACTGAAGTATAAGCATTTTTCTGTAATGATAAACCAGAAGTTCCAATATTCTGTGCCGGAAGTGAGCGTTTAAATAGATACCTATTAGATTTATCATCAAGATTTTGTAAATTATTTTGTAAACCTGCGTACTAAGTTAAGATATTTTGTATACATTTTAAGAATCTGGTGGTTGTTAGTTTTTTGGGTATTCGACGTGAATGTATGTGTTGCTGCTTTGTCGCTTAGCGTTGACAAAGTGCTGATTTGAAAGCTATGTCACTTTTGCATCATTTGCAACAAAATAAAACAGAATGGCATGCAATCTTCAGCACGACATATATCAAGCGTAATATTGTTCGCAAATATAAAGAAGCAGCTTCGGGTATGGAAGCAGTTTGTGCTTATCCCCTGTTTGAATGATCTATTACGGACGAAGCTGACGTACACGGAGTGTTTCGAGATGGGGATTCTAAGGGGTTTTAATAGTAAAAGATATCTGGTAAAGAGTCGGTCAGAAAGTGAATGCATTGAACATGTACAGAAAAGGGTTGGTAGTAGACTACAAAAAGTAAAAAACTCCGCTCCTGAATTGAAAGGAAAAGGTAAACTGACTGATTCTTTTATTGATAAACTACAGAATTGGGAATTGCAATTAGAAGTCATGTTTGAAACTTAATTGAGATGCAACAGGTTGTACTAACTGCTTGTTCCATTGTAGCTCTTCTTCGAAGCCAATGCCCTCCTCAATAATCAATGAATTGGTGCAACTATGAATGTGTAATTGCAGAAATCAGAAAAAAATCAGAAACAAAAAAATTAGGCAAAATCTGGTATATCAATATATATTTTGAATTTAATTAAACCTACATATATGGAGTGCCTACATAAACAAGAGTTATTAAAAGTGTCTACATGACAAAACTCAAAATGTCAGGAACGTTTTAATGGCATTTTATTGCAAATTGTTCCGAAAGAAAAATTCATAAACTTGCGAATATTAATGTTTGGAGAATGTAAGTGTTGTGTTATTTAATGTTATTTAATGATGGATTTATAGGTTTGCTTGAAGCATTTTCAAGGTTAGGTATGTGCCCTGAATTTTACATTGAGCAGGGAATTCGAAAACTTGATAAAGTGCAAAATCATGACTTTTGGTGGCACTCCACAAGTTTTACAAAAACTCAAAGAAAAAATTATGCTTTGTTCGAAAGAAAAGGTGCAAAGTGTGGGAAGAAAAAACCAAGGTGTCAAGTTACAAAGCAGAGGAATTTTAATTATCAGGGATGCTTTTTTCACTAAGAAATTATATGAAAACTTTAAACTTGTTTTCTGAAAAATGTTTTTTTTTCTGTAAATATTGCCAATGGTAACAGCCATAACTCAAAACTTTATGGATAAAATTTAATGATACTTTTTATATGTTTTATATATCTGATGCATGCTCTGAAGCAAAAGATTTTAGAAATATTAATTAGAAATTGAATTGTTACTTTTTATTTTAGATTTTGCAATAATAGGAAAAAAAAATATACAGTAAATACTATACATTTTGACATATCTCAAAGATATATGAATATTTCTTAATTATTTTGCTTCATTGCTACAAAACAAGTGTAAACATAAATACAAATTAAAAAAACTGCATATTTATATATACTTTGTTCACCGTGATTGTTAAAGGCAAAATTTAAGCAAAAATTATCCTTTTTTTCATAATTTTTCAAAATTAAAATTACTTAGCATTACGTTTTAAATTGTTTTCACTCATTAATATGCTTATCTTCAAATTAATATGTTTATAGTTAAAATCAAAACCATTTTTAAAAAAATGGTATCCGAACGAGGTCGGATCCTTAAGTGAATTTTAAGTGAATAAAGCTAATCATTCATTCTTGGTAACATTTTTTAAATCGACCGACTCACTGCTGCACCTTGTATTTTCATTCTTCAAACAGAGGTAATTTTAAAAGACTAAGTTCCTAGAGTAAAAGCTATTTGTTTGGCATTTTATGATCTTAAAGACTAAATAATTGATTATGAATGAAAACGTATGGACTTCTTTCTAAAATGGTTTCCGTTGGAGAATATTCCAATGGCATGGAACTCGGAGACTTTTCCAAAGAAAGTTGGCTTTCACTTACATTCCAAAGTAGGCAGATTATTTGTATTATGAAGTTTGTCACTTCTCTTTATCACTAATTGCAATGCTGTAAATGTGTGAAAAATATTCTTGAAATTACTGAATAATAAGCGATCCTCTTATGCCATTTTAGTTGCATTATGCTTATTTCAAAAATTTTATGCCCAAAAATAAAAAAAATGTAACATTTGCCATGAATTGCATCTTCATTACGTTCATTAATTTGAATTCCTTCTTAAGAAACTAGTATTAGTATTTAAAATTACGAAAGTCTTTCCGACTTATAAATACAACCCTAGTTAGTACGTAATTTTAATACTATTAGTATTTAAATTACCTATTAGTATTTTAAACTAGTACTAGCTTAAAATACTAATTAAAATACTAATTAAAATACTGACTAAAAAGTTTTTTTATTCGTGGTTTTAAATTGAGTTTCTGTTTCTTGGAGATGGTACATGGATAGTTTTCTTATTATAAATTATTGGTTCATTACTTTGCAGTTTTAGCGCAAGTCTTAGGCCTTTTAATTACTTATATATATATATATATATATATATATAATATAAAATATGAAACAAAATTATTAAACTTATATGGAATCAATTGGCAATAGACCTTTAAATTGATAAATTTTTATTAAACACATCCCGGCTTCAAAGATACGGGTTGCACCATTTTGCTTCACTCTGCAGCATATTATGTCATTCTTTTCCTGCAATTTCTCTATACTGCAAAGTTTAGCCCAATCGCTGCACAGGATTGACACAAAGACTTTCCGACTAATAAATACGACCCCA